ATTGAAGGGATCAGGTAATTAAATTGTAGTCCAATGGAACTAGTCTTTTTGATGGATTGTTCCTCTAAGGATGTGACTCTCTCCTGTAGTTGTGACTTCTCCTTCATTAGTTTGGTTGTATACAATTCATTATCAGACACTTTAGCTCTAAGGTCTATAAATTAATAGAATACTAATAATTATTATTGATTGATGATGATACACTAACCAGTAATAATCTGTTTCTCATTCTGTGATTGTTCCTCTACTTGTGATGTCAGTTTAGCTATAACTTTGTCTTTCTCAAAAATGTCACTTTTCAGATTATGAACGCTGACTGTATAATAGATGCAATAATACTGTGTGTATAGTTAACCTACCAATAATGATCTGTTTCTCCTTGAGATATTGTTGTTTCTCTTTTTCCAAATCATTAACTTTGAGTTTCAGTTTTTCATAATCTTCTACATTAATAGAATATTCTCTCATCTAATATTATGTACTGATGATACACTAACCAGTAACAATCTGTTTCTTCTCCTCTACTTGTGTCTTCTCTTTCAATATTTCAGCAACTTTAGCTTTAAGCTTCTCATAATCTTCTATTATTAATAAAAATACAAAAATACAAAGTAAAATGATATTTGTTGCTTATACAAATTTGCACTGCATGTACAGTAGCCCATAAATACATGTACTATGATTATTGCTAATCGTACCATATATGGTAAGCAGAGCTCACTCTACATCAATCTCATTATTTCTAATGCATGAACAATTTGACCTATATTGAGTACAGGATACTATTTCCATACTCAACATTGTCTAATCCACTAGTATTATAATGTAAACAATGTACACATAAACAACAGTACAACACAATAGTACCTAATTCAACAGTTGATTTATCCTTTTCTGCTTGCTCAAGGAGAGTGGTAGCATCAACAAGTTGCTGAATAAGTGTTGCCTTTTCTTGAAGAAGCTGTTGCTGCTCTTTGTCTTGATCTTGCTGTATCTGCTTTTGTTTCTGATAGAACTCTCTCTCTCTTTCTTGTAGGTGCCCTCTGAGTAATTGAAACTCTTTGCTTAATCCTAAATCCTCCCAATCATTCAGTATCCTTCTTCTTAGTTGATCTTCATACTGGTCCAGAGGTATTACACTAGTAGACCAATCATTATCACTAGTATATCCTATACAGTAACAAAATGGTGGAGAATAAGAAATACACAAATTAATTACACTTAGTTACTATGGTAAACTTATTATTGATGGATTCATGTTTAATCATTGTACATGTATGTGTGACTTTTGTCAGTTTACACGGTTAACCACATGAACATATTATTGTATATAAATACACTGATAGTAATATTTCATTCACTCTAGCTCCTATTAATATCAGTGTTTCTGTATCTGCAGTCATTATACTTCACTATTGTACATAGCAGGAATGAATTGGTAATAATTAGTATCATAGGTATACGTCAAATGCTCTCATTAAATATTCATCATAAGAATCACTTTATTGTAATATCATCATCAATACATATTCAATACACATTGCATCTACTACTGTCTACATGTACTTACTGAGTTTAATAACTGCTGTATCAGTACTGTGGCTTTCCCATCCTCCTCCAAACTCAATTATCCAGTTAGTAGTTGGGGTCACACTCCACACTGAGAGAGAATGCCAGCGTCTGTTAGTGACATTGACTGGTAGATTAATCTATAAAATTAAAATGATAATAATTAATTTTTGAACGACATATTAATTGATCATTTGATATCTGGTTAATAAACACAATAACTAACTCACAGTTTTATAGTCTGCACAGTGTGTTTTATGTAACACAAAGATGACATAATAAAATTAATAATACACAATATATTAATAGACAAGTATACACAACTGAGTGTTTTATTATATCATGTGAGTCCTCAATTAAGAACTTACTAAGTGTCTGCATGTACACACATACACATACACATACTAATGATACACTAACACACATACATGTACATCTATACATGCATACACATATAAAGCTACATGTAAAGCATGCATAATTGCTCACACACATACACACACATGTACATGTTACATGTACACATGATGTACATGTTAGTACACACATACACATTAAAACATATGCACACATACACACAAATACATGTATGTACATACACTATGTACACAATGTATATAAAATACAATATATTTTAATTCCAGCATTGACACTCTATCAATTGTGAATCCATCTTTACACACACACACAAACAGACACATGTATATTCACACATATTTAGGTAAAGAAACAAACACAAAACACAAAAAGACACAAACACACATTCACACTAAAAACAGACACACACACACACATACTGAATACCAGCATTATTCATCAGTAGTTTTCGCTGAGTATCATAATATGTACATGTACTACCAAGAGTAGATGATAGTAATCTACTCTTAATTGGTACTACAAACCTCATGAGTTACAAGTAAATGTTATAACACCCCCACTAGGGATACAAATGCAATGTATCCCACAGCAGGGGTGTTTATCAACATATTTGTGTAGTAATGAGTGGGCATATGAAAGGCGCGCGCCAATGCGCATACTCAGTAGCACCACACCTCGTGGTAAAATGGTAGCAATGGAGGACAGGAGGCTCAGAAAAAGGCACTTTTATCAACTGATTCAGGCTTTAGGTTGACATAATCTTACTATTTTCAGGCTATAATGTCTGGAAGAGGTCCAGAACAAAGATCCTGCGCTTGCTGACCGGCCATGTATCGATCTTACCTTCCCCGGCCATCTTATTTGGCTTAGTCAACCATTGATTTCGAAATCAATGGTTGACTCAACATAGAAGGAAAGCAGTGAAACTCTACCTGCATGGATTATTGGTCTATAAATAGATCTAAAGTTTTCTGCACTCTGGAGACTCACAATTGTTCTGACTTTGTACCCGCTGTCCGTTCCCGCGGGCCACTGGACCTAGACCAGACTTTATTGCAAGCTTTATTGACAGTTGACTTTCAGCTTATAATACCTGTACAATAATGTTGTTTCTTATATTTTATTTTAAGAGATTTTTGCTGTCAACCCACAGGGATACAAATAAAACCACAGGGAGTGTTACAAATGAAAGCTGTGTTACATCACATTTGTAACCACAGGCGGTGCCTTTGATACGCCCACTCACCATTATACAAATTTAGTTAATCACTTTATGTTTCATTATCAAGCATCATAATATAATACTTACCAGTTCTTTCCATTTTCTTTTGTTAATGTTCAGTAACCATACATCATAGGCAGGATATCCACCCACCACTAGTAAGTGTGGTCCTGAACTAGTGGTAATCAGTACACTGGAATGACCATATCTTCCCTCAGGCCATTGTACTGATCCTCCAGGATTAGGTACTTCTAATATATCCTGAGAGAATAATAATATCAATGTAATAAAATAATTAATGAATATTAATTACTGTAGACTGGATTTAAAATGGAAACCCACAAATTGCAATACCTTACAATCAAAACCCATCCTACAGTATTAACTCACCACTGATGTCTTAGTGAAACTTATCATATACAGTTTATTACTCCTTCCATTATCAGTAAGGCCTCCGAACATTACCGCAGTGTTATTAGTAACTGGTGTTAGAGTGAAGTCATCAATAGGAGGTGGTCTGTCTCCAGTAACAACAGGAGATATCCATTGATCTAATAATAATGTACACACATTCATGTACACTTACTTACCACATGCACACACATACATTATACACATTCATCATACATATGTATGTGTATATGTGTGTACATTATTATTTATACATACACATCATGCATAGACACACATCACTATCACATGATACACACACAGACACACAGACACACACACACACAGATACACACACACACACACACACAAACACACACACACACACACACACACACAGATACACTCATGTATGGATACACACACCATCACACACACCACACCTGTACACATGAAGGAGAGGTCCAGGGGGTCTTTTATTTCAAGATTACTAATCTATTCTGGTACATGTCAGTTATGATTGTTAATGAATAATTATATAAAACTCATGGAACATTGTATGTGGGTAATTTGTGACTCATGTGATACAGAACTTTATTAAAAATGATAATAAATAACATGAACCTACACACACACACACACTCATGTCACATTAGCTTATGTATAGATACATGTACATATACAAACATCACACACACACAGATACATGATAATACTCACACACACATAACATGCACATTATAGATACATGTCACATACACACGTCATACATTCATAAATTCTCACATACATTATATGCACTATCATACACAGACACATCATAATGTATGTATTAGTACACACACACACGTCACATATAGACACACGTCACCATCACACACAAACACATGACACACAGAGACACACTAACAAACACACTTAATTATTAACAATCTGTTTTATGTACATTAATATAAATTATTCAGTTTGAAATACTCATCAACTATTGTGTATCAATGATGAGAATTACTGACCTGATGAAATCCTGTAATAATGTATCTCATTACATCTACCATCAGCTGAATACTGAGCATCAGGTTGCTTTGGAGTATTGATAGAAGAGTAGTTCCTTCCTCCAATTATTAAAAGATAGTATTCACCATTAAAATTAGCTGATACTATTCCACAGTAGCCCTTCTTCATTGGATCACGATCGAAACTAGAAGGAGAGAGTTCCCTCCACTTGAATGAATCCACATTAAAACAATGTAAGCTGTTTTGATCAATAACTTCACGCCCACCGAAATAATATATGTCCTTTCCTATGGCGACAGATGAGTAGGCCCTGGTACCTGGTGGTGGGGTACCAGTAGTAGGTTTCTGGTCCCAAGCACCAGTTGGTAAGTGATACACCTCCATCACATCATAGTCTACTCCAGACCCCTCCCCACCCCACATATATAGGTAGTCTCCTACCTTTATTGCGGAGTGTCCCCATCTCTCCACTGGTTGATAGTCTATAGAGAACAAGAAGTACCAGTAACAGAGTAACAGTAATATAGTGATGAGTTAGAATAAGGACAGGATACAGAGGAGTAAAGTAAGTGAGAGAGTAAGAGAGACAAAGAATGAATGAAAGAGATACAAAGAGAAGAGAATAGTGGCCCTCACTTTTAGATGCCATTCTTGCAAAATACCAGCCCCTCCCAAACTATGCAACATAGGACCACACCCATTTATCCAAATTTACACCCGGTTAGCGCATTATTCCTGGATAGTTGTCCGGAGTTAGGTGTAACTGTTCCTGGAAACTATCCATAGGGATAGACACTATGAATATTGAATAATAAGTAGTTTAGCTTAGTTAATGATTAATGAATAAGGGGGAGGGATGTCAAGGAGCTATGGAGGCTCACTCAGGAGCTCGCCTCA